CCACACACATGCCATTCAAACATTACTTAACAGATTCAATCTTATTTAAGAAATTTAAAACTAAACGAAATCAAGAATACCCAGGTAAAAAATCAGAAAGAAATATGCGTGAAGATAGTCCATTTGTACTGAAGCGGCGAAAATTGGCAACAAACAAACGACTAATTAAATGATTTTTTTAATTAAATAAATTAAATTATTAATTATTATAATAATTAAATAAATAACCTAATTGATAATCTAATAGACGTATTTTTGCTAAGCGTCACACACACCTACAACTAAACAATAGAGTAAACATACATTGAAAGCATGCAGAAAACAACGTTTGATATATATCTACATAAGAAAGGATACACTTAGTAGAATAAAGGATACAATGGACACACGATAGTGACACATAAAGATAGATAAACAAAGATAGATCCATAAAGATAGATCCATAAAGAGAGATCCATGAAGAGAGATCCATAGAGATAGATATAAAAGATAGATAGATAAGGATAGATACATAAATATAAGTAAATGGATTATTGAAAATATATAAAATTATTAAGTTGGATACATATAGATAGATAGAAAGGTACACAAAGATAGATACGAAAAGATATCTCTCTATATGGATATGAAAAACATTAAATTTATTAACTTTAGGAACTATGACAAAAATACAGTTAGACAGCTAAAGTTTTTATAAAGTATATCATTACGCCATTCAAAAAACAGATGGAGAAAATTGATAGTGAAAGCAATGCATCTACTAATTTATCACAAAAACAACAACAACAACAACAACAACCCCAACAACAACAATCTCAACAACAGCAACCTCAACAGCAACCTCAACAACAATCCAATCAATCAAAGCTGTCTTCAACTGGGACAGGCGCGACGACACTCAGTTTTGTTAGGTTTTAACCAATGTTTATAATTCAAATAAAATTAAATAATAAAAAATATTAGAATATAAACATGAATCAATAAATCAATAAATCAATAAATCAATAAATCAATCAATCAATCAATAAATCAATAAATCAATAAATCAATCAATAAATCAATCAATCAATCAATCAATCAATCAATCAATCAATCAATCAATCAATCAATCAATCAATCAATCAATCAATCAATCAATCAATCAATCAATCAATCAATCAATCAATCAATCAATCAATCAATCAATCAATCAATCAATCAATCAATCAACCAATCAATCAATCAATCAATCAATCAATCAATCAATCAATCAATCAATCAATCAATCAATCAATCAATCAATCAATCAATCAATCAATCAATCAATCAATCAATCAATCAATCAATCAATCAATCAATCAATCAATCAATCAATCAATCAATCAATCAATCAATCAATCAATCAATCAATCAATCAATCAATCAATCAATCAATCAATCAATCAAT